AGGTCAACGATTGCAAAATATTGCATCTTTTCTATCCTGGAAATATTTGCTTCATCTGTTAACTTCTTCAGATGTTCACAGAACCCACTAAACTCCATGTCGGTGGCAGGTGAACTGTGACTACTATTGGGACTATAAGAATCCATATTGAAATTTGACTGCAACCCTGCCTGAAACTGTGAATTCTGTAGTATTGAACCAGATGTCCCACCCCAACTGAAATCCTTAAGATTTGGGCCATTGGAGAGAGACATTTCATAATATTTTGACAAAGGGATATCCGGACAATTATCTGAATTTACAGCGTAATCCTTCTTGGAGGCATCACTTGATGTAATATATTCAGCAAAATGCCTTAAAGCTGCGCTTGCTCGTTTCCAATTTCCTGAACACATCAGAGGTAACAATCTTTAGCTAAGGTGAAATTAACCGCATGACACAGGTAATGCTCCTGCACGAAGAAAAAAATAAGAAGGGAAAGCTAAATAAAAGCTAAACAGCTTAGTTTCGGTATTGATTGAAGAAGGGAAAAACCAAAAACACTTGCAGCATATCACCTGAACGTATAGCTACAAGGAGGGCTTGAGGGTGATATAGAGGCAAAGCACCTCCTAACTTTTCCACCATATGTAACATGCTCGCAATGTCAATAATACTTTCTGAACCAGATGCGGTCCCAGTTAAAAGCATACTATTGGATTGCCAGTCATCAATTGCATTACTTGTTGGAAGTAGAGGAATACACCCTCTGCTATTAGATGCAGTATCAGCTTCTTTAAGATCAATAAGACCAGAATCAGATAACAACTCAGAGTCTCTGCCTTCTTCTGTAGCATTCACTAGGTTGGGAAGATTGGCTGCAAAAATTTCTGGATTGTTATCGATCTTTTGCTTCTTGTCAATAACGGCCAGCCATTGCCCATGTAGGCTAATATAATCATTATGAGCAACGGCAGTCATAGCTTTGGAGCCCCACCATAAATCATGAATAGCAGAAAATGTTCGAGTAACAGCAAAGCACTGCCAAATTTGTGCCTCTGAAGAATAATCAGAGACAGCGATACTGGTACTTCTGCAAGGCTGCCGAGCACTGTCATATACCCGCATCTCCTTCTGTGTGCAAACTCCAAGCAGTAGCTGATCATTGCCCACAGCTGACCATCTTACGGCAGCAACCTCTGCATCAAAATGTAACTTATCCTCAAGTATGAAAACCCCTGAATCTATAAGGTGTACAATCTCCCATATACTAATTGTGTGGACAGCTTTTGAATGATTCTCTGTACAGAGTGCTGCTATCTTGTGTCCCGAATCAGTTAGAGATATAACACTGACCGGATTTTGGCCAATGGTAAGCATGCCAACAAGCTCCCAAGGAATGGAAGGTGTTGAACTTTCCTGAAGACTACTTCTCCACAGTTTTAAAGAGCCATCAGCTTGACCAGTTGCCATAGTATAAGCTTGATTTTCAATGTTCATGTCATTCTCTAAAGCCCTGCCGCTTGGATTGACCACAGCAAAACTACTAACTTCATCGTAACGGTGAGATTTAGGTATTTCTGAAGAGCATGCTCGAACAGCAATGCAATTTGTCTTACCAGCAAAAGTATCTTCGAACAACCACTTGCCCGATTCAATACTATCAAAATCATGAAAATGACAGTCGCAGGTGGTTCCTGCTGCATCGAAATGATGCAAAGTCACTCTCCACGACAGAGCATCAAACCGTTTCTCTTTCATCCATACACTCAAAAGCAAAAATCTGTTACTTTTGAATGTCTTTCCAAAAGAATTAGACAGAGGAATTGCAAATATGCTGGTCGGACCATAATCCAAAGGGTGGCTAACTGAAAATGGTATGGTACAAATGTAATGGGTTAGAAAACCATCATAACCCATCCCACAATTCCTCAAGCTAAAGCAATCAACGCCTTCTACATGTCCCACAAGAAGAAATCTTTCATCATTCAATGATGAAGGTGCCCAGCATATACTCGTGTACTTCAATCTTAAATCTAAATTTTGAAGCCGTCCACAAGGTTTCCAAGTAGAAACTGATATAGGATGGTCAATAGCACGGTTCAAGTAATCACAAGAGGACCAGATTATTATCAAACCATTATAGTCCAGAGAAGCAGTGTATCTCGCCTCACATATGATAGGATCAAAGGCCACCTGTAAGATTTTCCCACCATGACCATCAAGATCTAATACTTTTTCCGTAATGCACTTCAATACACTGGATCTATTTGGAGATGACTCTTCTGAGTCGTGTGATTTTATTGTGTGCAAGGAAGACCAATATACAGTATTGCGCGGAGATAAACTAATTGACGAGCAGATAAGTGGCATGCCATAGAGGTTATTTCTAGATACAGAAACTTTCTTAAGGGGTAATCGATCAGAAGAGCCTGTAGCCTCAGCTCGAGAGAGTGGTTCCACACCAATTTCATTTGATTCTTGTTTCGCCCACAATGTGATCCTCGGAAACCTCATGGGAGAGATGTCGTCAAGACAATGGACAGCCCACAAAGAAGCCGACTTTCCAGGGCCGTGTCCTACCAACCACTCACAGTTGCCAACATTTTCATGAACATACTTTTCTATAGAAAACAACTGATTAGTACCTTCCATGGTTTTCAATATACCCCCTATGCGAGTTCCCCAAACAATAAATAAATCTCTGCCCAAATAGCCATCCAAGACCTGATTTATCTCTATCACAGCTACCACGCAAAACGATTTTTTATGATCATTCACATCTTTGATGCCTTTCTTTGTCTTTCCACCATCTACCTCACTCCATAACCTTACTGCCCCATCCAAGCAGCACGTCATTAACACATTCCTCGTTGATTTCCCTACACAGATTGCAGACTGCTCTGCAGCCACCGGTCTCCACTGAATCATGGATATTCTCTGAGGATGAGGCAATTCAACTTTACGATATGACTCCCCATCACTATAATAGGCCAAGACGCGTGTACCTGCCTCATCACAGTCGACTGGAAACTTGCTCCAAGATGTTGCTGTCGCAAAAGGACCCTCGGATGACCAGGTGGAGGACACCAGATCTTGAAGGTAATCCCCTTGGAACTTCCAAGCGATTTCCCAGGATTGGTTCCTTCTCTTCCAGAAAACAATATCAGTTCCACCAACAATTATCCCATCGCTGGATCCTGTCCACTCAATTGCTTCAACTTTTGATGCTTGCACCAATATAGCATTCTGACTCCAACAAAAAGAACCTGAATATGAGTAAAGACATAAAAATTTAAGATATCCAAAACTAAACTGGGAGAAAGAAGATACACATTCTAATCATTTCCCAATGGATCCTTCTTTTAATAACCAGTGTCAGTACTATACTTGTTGAACCAAGAAGATGGAAACCATTAGTGGCATCACAATCCAGACCGTGAACAGAACAGAACTATAAACACCTCAGAAGAGAAATTATTTCCAACAGGCTGCACTGGCTACTAACTACACTCTAATCGCGTGTTGATTTGCAAACTAAACAGACAAGAACCACGAATTGTTCAAAATGTAGAGAAGCTTCGAAAAAGCCATTTTCTCAACTGAAAAGAAGGAATAATAGAAAGCTTTAGATTAAGTTTTACCATTCAAATCACTGGGATCACGCGCGAAGAGGCAGATATAGTTCCCAGACCCGACCGCGAGCTCGCCTAGAGACGGCGTTACAGGAGACCACGAAACAGCAGTAACTGGAGAAGAAGATTCGCCGGAAACCTCGATAATTTGACGGAAAAAGGGACCGTTGGTGGAGTCTTCGCCGCGGAGAGGGGAAGGTAGATGAGAGATGACAAGGAGAGTGGATGCTCCGTAAGCAAGCCATGAGTAGCCGGCGAAGTCTGGAAGCCAGTCGATAGAAGATTGGGATCGGGTGGGAGCTGGTGGGACGATCTCCGATCTAAGTAGCCGGAGAGGTAACTGATCGATCGGATCTGTGACCGAGATCGCGTCGTGACTCGTCTCCGGCATTTTCACGGGTTTTAACGGAAAACGCAAATCTTACTTTCCCGTTTGCACTACCATGTAAGTCACACTAACCTGATGAATTCCGTGTAATGTATCTCATTTAGGCCCAACAATATTTCATTTGAGACTCTCTCTCTTTTTTTTGGGTTATGATGTATAATAAATAGTATAATGTGTATTCAGCCTATAGATGTAGAACTAGCTATATTATGAATCTTCATTATAGTAAAATTGTAAATAAATTATCACGATTTTCTTAGTAACATATAAGTAAGTGAAATCGCAAATTTTATGACGTTGATGTTTTTTATATGAACATTTTATTAAACCAATGAGCGGATACGGATCGATTGCATGAATTTTTGTTATCCTTGTGTATAGATTTGGCAGAATAATGTTAAAACTTAACAATATATATAAAGCAGTCAAAACAACGCACAAATGACTCGGTCAAATGCGAAGAATCATCATGTTTCAGTCTAAATGTTTACAAAAATCTTTTTAGGAAAATAAATAAATAAACAAGAGTTTTTGACAAGTGAAGGCGTGCACGAATTTTGATGATGATACGACCAATAAAGAATTAAGTCCATCCAAAACACCGACCTCTTTGATCACTTCTTACTCTTTCTTGTTCTTTCTTTTTCAACACACTCTAAAAAAAAAACTCAAAAGCCCTAAAACAACATCATCGTATAATGTCCATAAAACCAATACGACCCTACTAAACACTCTCTAATGATGCTAAATCATGCATCTGATCACTTCCTGGCTAATCCCAAAACTCGTATGTATAATCAATTCGGTGTAGCCTTGTAATGATTTCGTTTGATTTACTGTCATTGCTTTGTAGTCTTGGTGAAAACCGGGTCGGTCCAGATAAATCAGCAGTTTCATATCCCTCACTAGCTTGGTATATAATTCGCTTTTTACTGATCCAAAAGCAAAGAGAAGAGACTCATTAAGAGTATCTCTCTTCTTAATTAATCAAAGCCCTTTTAGATTAACCCGTGTGTTGCCTTCAATCTCACGCTGGGGTCAAGAAACAAGTCACGCCTTCCCAACACCTTATAATCACTAGTGTTTTTGTTCCCAACTCCCCAAAATCATGAAACTTTTCTTTTCAAAGTATATATAATATTTCCTATTTTTCGCCTTCGAACACTATAAAAACCAGTTGCATTACAGTCAGTACCTTTCACTCTCATATCTCCCTGTCTCTTTTCCATTAAAGATGACCAATATAGTTGTCCCGGTCTTGTTCCGTCTTTGCTTTTTCTTGTTCATTATTCAAGTACTGAACATTGCGAGGTTTAGCGCTGCAACTAAGTTTTACCAGTTCAAGGTAAAGTATCAACAATATTCAAACCATAATCAACATCTCATGTATGCATTTTCTGTATTCTTTGCTCTGTTGTGTTACTGATTTCTCTAATAGGTACAAACAACGAGACTCACCAGGCTATGCCAGACAAAAGAGATTGTAACAATCAACGGGAAATTCCCTGGCCCTGCAATATCCGCTCAAGAAGATGACAGAATTGTCGTTAACGTTATCAACATGACCCCCTATAATACCACAATCCATTGGTATGCTTATGCAGATATATATATATACACATATATACAAAGTACAAATGCTTAGAAGACAAAACTAGACTAACAAGCGTTGTTTCTATTATGTGCAGGCATGGTATTAAGCAGAAACTGTCATGTTGGTATGATGGTCCATCTTATATCACACAATGTCCAATCCAGAGTGGACAGAGTTTCACATACAACTTCACAGTGGCGCAACAAAAGGGCACATTTTTTTGGCATGCACACTTTTCTTGGCTTAGGGCTACAGTATACGGTCCACTTATTGTATATCCTAAAGCTTCTGTTCCTTACCCATTCAACAAACCCTTCAACGAGCATACTATTCTCCTGGGTAATTTTTATTCTTAGTAAAGTCAGTCTCATTCACTAATTGAGGTTACTGAAGTTGTTTGACGTCGTTTCACGATAATCTAGGAGAGTATTGGCTTAAGAACGTGGTAGAGCTGGAACAACAGGTACTGGAGAGTGGAGGACCTCCTCCTCCAGCAGATGCATTCACAATTAATGGTCAACCGGGACCTAACTACAATTGCTCCTCTAAAGGTAATAGATATCAGAGTGTGATGATTGATTTGCAACGAGAAAACAGATTATTGATCCTTGTTTTTATGTCTTTATATTCCAGATGTTTATGAAATTGAGATAGTGCCAAGGAAGACATACCTGCTACGGCTGATAAATGCTGGCATTAACATGGAGAGCTTCTTCACCATAGCTAATCACCTGTTAACCATAGTGGAAGTAGATGGCGAGTACACGAAACCTTTTACAACAGAGCGTGTGATGCTTGTGCCTGGACAGACAATGAACGTTCTTGTCACAGCTGATCAAGCCATTGGGAGATACTCCATCGCCATGGGTCCGTACGAGTCTGCAAAGAACGTCAAGTTTCAAAACACATCAGCGATCGCTTACTTCCAATACTTTGGTGCATTGCCTAACAGTGTAACGTTACCAGCTAAGTTGCCTATTTTCAATGATAATATCGCTGTTAAGACAGTCATGGACGGGCTCAGAAGTCTAAATGCAGTCAATGTTCCAAAAGACATTGATGCACAACTCTTTATCACAATCGGGATAAATGTAAACAAGTGTAACTCTGAAAATCCAGATAACAAGTGCCAAGGTCCCAGAAAAGGAAGATTAGCAGCTTCAATGAACAACATCAGCTTCGTCGAGCCTAAAGTCTCGATTTTGGAAGCTTATTACAAGCAGCTGGAAGGATACTTCACTTTAGATTTCCCAACCACGCCGGAAAAATCCTATGACTATGTCAATGGGGCACCCAATGACATAGCCAATGACACTCAGGCTGCAAATGGGACCAGAGCAATAGTTTTCGAGTATGGGAGCAGGATACAAATCATCTTCCAGAATACTGGCACACTCACAACGGAAAACCATCCAATTCATCTTCATGGACACAGCTTTTATGTTATTGGCTATGGCACAGGGAACTATGATCAACTAACAGCACGATTTAACATGGAGGATCCTCCTTACTTGAACACTATTGGAGTCCCAGTAGGAGGATGGGCTGCAATTCGGTTTGTTGCCAACAATCCAGGTAATTCTTTTTCGCAACACTTCCCTAGCATTACAACCCACCCACATTTTTTTACTGATAAAATTTCTTCTTTTTAAAAAAAAATGAATAGGGCTCTGGTTATTGCATTGCCACTTCGACATCCATCAAACATGGGGAATGAGCACCATGTTTATAGTGAAAAATGGCAAGACCGTGATTGAGAGTCTACCTCGTCCACCTGCAGATCTACCAAAGTGCTAGGCTTCATTGAAATTAGCAAATGGTGACAGCAAACGAGGATAGAGTGTTTTTGGTAACAACCACAGAAAGCAAATTAGACGCTTCCATTTGCCTGCTCTTATTCATTAATCTAGAGCAAATGAAATGTCATTCAAAGGGATAGAAGAGAAAGATTCAGATTTTTTTATTCAGATTTTCCAATGTATGATAAAATCCAAAAATACACATTACACTGTTTGAAAGCCAAGAGTGAAAATATTATGAATTGCTACAAACTGGCGATTCACATAAGAAAAATCCACCACACAAACAAGAGATTCTTTGATCACCTCCTCAGACATTATAACTTAATTAAGGGTTAGCCTTTTCTGAAGTCCAGCATTTCTCTCCTGCTCCACTAACCATCGACGAAAACAAAAACCTCTGATTGCTTTTCAGATTCAAGTAATCAACCTGTCATCAAGGGTATTCACTGATGAAACAATGTACGCCTAACAAGAGAAATCATCAGAAGAAAGAAATCTTATTAAAAACAAAACCTTTTCTGGCTCAAGAAGCAGCAGACAATATTCAGCAACTGGACCACTTGAGGGATCTAACTTAACTTCTTGATTTGGTTGCTCGCTGTTGTAAGGACTACCAGGAGTAGGACAGATGTAAATCAGCCTTGACTTCAAAGAATTAGCAAACCAAGCTTTCTCTCTTTGCTACATCCATTAAAAAATCAAAACCAAAACAATCAAGACAAAAGAAAAAACCGATCTTTCTTTCTTTCCAAGACATTACTGGGTTATGTATTTCGTACCTGAAGCTTGGCCTGGTCAGGATTCGACGCATCAATGACCTCAATTCTTCCATTGATCCGGAATTGCTCCCAAGAATCCGAGAAATACCAACATATCTTGGAAATATAAAACCCACCAAATTACAATCGGAGTGTAATGTAATATAAATCGAGCATGAGAGATTTCTCACCTCGGAATACGGACAATGACTAAGCTCTTCAATCTGCAACAAAAATGCAAGAATTTACAGGATGAAAAATGAGACAAAATTCGGAAGTAGCTTCAGGAGAAATGCCACCATAAACTGTAAAAATTCCAATGACCTTACGACTACGAAAATCGGTGTTGATTTGAATCCTATCACTGTTCTCTTCAAATCCCCTGCCAAAGTGCCACCGACAAATATTTCATCTCCCAACCAATCGAATCAAAGGACATTCTGACTAAAAACGGAGATAATCACGCACATTCGTAATCACCTGAATACGACGGTGCGATTCGAAGGCCGTCCATTTAAACCAATCGTCGCCTGAAAACACACATCATCTAACAAGTGAGCAGCATCGCTCGTTGTGTGCGTGAACAAAGAGAAGATAAGATACAACAAAATCACATACGAGCTGAACATAAGAAGAGTGGCTTAGGTGAGAATTCGCCTCGATCGCACCAAAGAGAAGCTGCTTCCATGGCGCTACAGCTGTTCCCATCGTCATCATTCACCGATTTTCGGCCTTTCCTTTCCATTTCAGCGATACTATTTACACATTGCCGCCATTAACGTTAAACGGCGTCGGTTTCGCTGCCAGTAGTTACTTGATTTAACTAACTTTATTTAATGGGCCATATTTAATATTGGGCCTAAAGAATATATGATGCTCGTTTATTAAAAGCAAAAATATCTGCGAACCGACTAAACAACTTGAAGGAAATGTGGCAATTTGTAAGTCGTTGAAGCAAAACGGCAGGCAAAAGGGAAGATGGCACAGTGAAACGACACGATAGATAAAGAGAGAGGGATTGGGTGGGAGAGGGTGTTGGGTAAGAGAAGACAGATGTCAACATCAAGAAAGAAAATAAAACTGGAACAGTCTTTAGATTTGTAAAAAAGCAAGCAAATAAAAAAATCTCAATCACGCCACGATTTGTGGGGCCCCTCCCCACCTCCTTTTTGTCGCTTCCTGTCGGTCTTCTCATTCTTCTCTCCCTCGTCTTCTTTTTCAAAATTCGTCTCTTCGAAAATTCCAATCCATATATATATATATTTTTTAGTAATTAAATTTCCTTTAGTTTTTTACTAGTACATCCGCTGTAAAATTGTAAGAAAGATAATTTGCCTTATGAATCTTTGAATTGATACTTTGATGGAGGGTTTCTTCATTCTATAAAATAAGAACTTAGTGGCTTTTATGACTCGTAAGGTATATCATTTTACCTAAAAAGCTCACATGGTTACAGGATTTTTTTTGGCTCATGATTTTTTGTATATCTATTTTTAATAAGATGTTTTAATACAAATGAGATATTGTATGAATAAGATGTTGACCTTCATCTTTATCACTTTAACCAAAATCATATATAATTTTGGATATGTGTGATGTAATAACCCTTTATTGCATTTATAAAGCCAAATATATTGCTAACATGGAATAAATGTTAAGTATAAATAGATTTTGTTTGGTAACATCATGAAATGTCATAATCATATAAGCAAACGAATAATAGAATGACAAACTTCTATTTAAAAAACTAGATTTCACTGCAAAATTGTATGACGACAAAGTAAAGGTATTAACTTCACAGCGTTTTAAAAGACCTAAAAAAAGGTTTAGTTTTAAAAATTGTGTAAATTTAAAAAGTACTTACAAAACCGTATAAACAATCTTTTGCTTTTCGTATTTTCAGTATTTAACTAATCTCATCAGTTTCATAAAATCTAGATCGGGACCAGTATAATATACATATATTGATACAGTAAATAAAGTTTAAAGTCGAGCTAAATTTAGGTGTCAAAGCCACTAAATCACATGTACGCAAGACATGTGGTGTATATACATATAGGTATGGTATTGGGATTTTAAAAATTGAGCTAGGCGATTTGATGGACCATATGGCCAACAAATAGTATCCAATCACAAAATGGGAGGCCAGGAAATAGCATACAACTCATAGTTCCACTCACACTAATATGCATTATATGAACACATAAGAGTTTTATATTCAGTAATAAATATATTATTTAAACAAAAGGACATAATTCCTTACACACGATTTTTTCTCTTATAAAAGTATAATTTATTACGAGGGACCAGAAAGAGCTAGCGGTCACGAGACATCATCACTAGTCAAAATCAACAAACCCAACTTTTTCTTTTTACTACTTTTATTCTTTTTATAACCGAAATTTTCTTAAAAGTTCAGTCCATAGTTTTCTCCCGAATTGGGCGGATGATGCTATGAAATTACAAATCATAATATAGTCTCTAAATCAAACAATTTACTTCATACCGATCATCTAAATTAAAGGCACAATAAATGCGATATGTGTCAACTCATTTCGCCATTTTATCACTTTTTTAGCAAACAATCAAGAATTACTATTCTAGACTTTTACATTTGAGTTATTTAGTCAGATATTTATATTTTCAACATTCAATATATCATATTCAAATTAAAGTCCAGCAGAATGACATTTATTTTACTCGATAACATTTTAGTTATATATGTATATATCTAGATTTTCTATTTATAATGCATGAGAAAAAACGTTTACATATATATTCTCTTAGATAATAATAAGTTAAAAGTTGGGTGCTTCTCTTCTCCGTCTTCTTCGCTGGCTCTTTTTTCATCACCCATAAAGTGAAAGGCAACGCATAGAAGAGCCATCACTCAAAAACAAAGAAAAGGCAAAAGAAAAAAAAAGTCTCCAAAAACATTCTTCTCTTTGGCCTTTACTCAAAACCCACACATATCTCTCTCTCTCTCTGGCTTTCTCTTTGTCGGAAGTCATGGACGCTACGAAGTGGACACAGGTGCTTAAAAGATCTTCCTTTGCTTCTTGTCTTTTGTTTCTTCTTAATTCTCCTTAACTACTTCTTCCTTTTTCTCTCTTCTCTTTCCCTTCCTCTTTCTCTCTTCCATGATCCATGAAAATTTCATACTTAATTATATTCATATTTATGTGTGTGCATATGTTGTTATATATATACAGATGAATACCGCGGTGATGATGTGTTTGTGGTCAAAGATATTATATAGAGATATTTCAAGAGTTCTTACACATATTTCAATGAAAATTTGCATGGGAAAATTATCTTTTTTGTAGGTTTCGAGGTTGGGAAGAAAAGATTAGGGATATATTATAGCTCGCAACACTTTTTTCTCAGCCTTTTAATCTGACTACTCGTTAATTATATATTGAAAAACTAATAGAGATTAGATAATTAAAAGTTATGATTTGTTATTTACCATTTGTTCTTTGTGTTCATATCTTTTCGTTTTTATTAACTCCTATATAGTTCTATCAGATAACAAGGAAAATATAATGTGCATGTTTCATTTTTCTCCGTTTGGTAGTGCTTAAATTTGAGAAGCACGATGCCTATTAAACACTAATTAGCTCCCTCTTTGGGGGTTCTCTAATTAATTCTTTCAATTTCAATGCTTAGGGCTTTCAAGAAATGATGAACGTAAAACCAATGGAGCAAATCATGATTCCTAATAACAACACACATCAATCAAACACCACGTCCAATGCAAGGCCAAACACCATTCTCACATCTAACGGCGTCTCAGCCGCAGGAGCCACCGTCTCTGGCGTAAGCAACAACAACAATACGGCGGTTGTAGTGGAGAGGAAAACAAGACCACAAGAGAAACTAAATTGTCCAAGATGTAACTCAACCAACACAAAGTTTTGTTACTACAACAACTATAGTCTCACACAACCAAGATACTTCTGCAAAGGTTGTCGAAGGTATTGGACCGAAGGTGGATCTCTTAGGAATGTTCCTGTCGGAGGAAGCTCGAGAAAGAACAAGAGGTCATCTTCTTCTTCTTCTTCATCAAACATCCTTCAGACAACACCATCTTCACTTGGTTTGACCACACCACTTCCAGATCTAAACCCACCAATTCTCTTCTCAAACCAAATCCCTAATAAATCAAAAGGGTCATCACAAGATCTTAACTTGTTGTCTTTCCCAGTCATGCAAGATCAACATCATCACCACCATCATGTTCACATGTCTCAGTTTCTTCAGATGCCTAAGATGGAAGGAAATGGCAACATGACTCATCAGCAGCCTTCATCATCATCTTCTCTCTATGGTTCTTCGTCGTCTCCTGTTTCAGCGCTTGAGCTTTTAAGAACAGGAGTTAATGTTTCTTCCAGATCAGGGATCAACTCATTTATGCCTTCTGGTCCAATGATGGATTCATCAAACAATGTGCTATACACTTCTTCAGGGTTTCCAACAATGGTCGATTACAAGCCAAGTAATCTCTCTTTCTCTACTGATCATCAAGGGCTTGGACACAGCAACAACAATAGGTCTGAAGATGGTCATCACCAAGGTAGGGTTTTGTTTCCATTCGGGGATCAAATGAAGGAGCTTTCATCAAGCATAACACAAGAAGTTGATCATGATGATAATCAACAACAGAAGAGCCATGGTAATAATAATAATTCAAGCCCTAATAATGGATACTGGAGTGGGATGTTCAGTACTACAGGAGGAGGATCTTCATGGTGAAGCAAAATGATCGAAAGAGATGATGAAATGAGCTTTCTAACTCTCTTTCATGATATTTTGCCTCACATAGTCACATGGGGTACTTTAGTTAAAGTTGTCAGAACTTGGCTAACACAACATAGTCTTTTTATTCTCCTTATTGTTTGGGTTTTTGTTTTGTTTAAACCAATATTAATTTTTTAAATGTTTTGTTATTGGGTTGATGGTAATTCGGGTTGGTTTTTCACTTTGGTTTGTTGATTAATTAGTATATGTGTATAACGGAGTTATGTATGGGTAGAAGAATATGTGAATACGGATTTTGAGTGTTACGTGATATGTATTCATCGTTTCTTCTATCTGTATATATATAAGTGTTCTCATAGTCATAGATTCATATCTATATTTCTCGATCTTTAGAAGTTTCTGTAATATAATATTTTCAAAAGGACTCATTTTAGTTTAATAAAAATTCATTCATCAGAATCCAAGTTTGATGAAGAACTTGTGGTACCTTGAATGATGTTGCATCCATGATTAACGAACGTGAACCTATTAAACAATAATGATCAAACGGTGGTAATTTTTCACTGCTTGTTTTCTCTTTCTTTTTTCCAATCAATTTGGACAAAATCGATTCAAAAACAAACTCTATAAAACTTTCCCCTCTCTTCTTTCCAAATCGAAGAGAAAAGAGATTCAGAGTTGATATCAAAGACAACAGAATTTCATAACAGCAAACGAGATATATAGAAGTCGGCCTTGTTATATTTCTTGTAAAATTTCAGGAGATTTTGTTAATTTAGCTTGTGATTACTAGAAATGTGTCTTTTTAAGTATCGATATCTCCATTAATTTATGCTGTCAAAGGAAACTATTGACATCAGTTTTAAGTTAAGAGTATATCATCCATTAGCAACAAAGGAATGAAACGGCAGCGAATCACCGTTGAGTGTCTGCATGTTCATTGGGCTATGTTTAATACTTTAATCCAACTCATCACGGCCTAGGCCTGTTAGATTCTACTAACTTAAGTTTAAAAAACTTAATAGCACCGTTTTAATTTTAAAACGGAAACTAGAGCTGCCTTGACCTTCATCAAAGTAGTGTATCAACAAAGATTAATTCTTTCTTTTTTGGTAAAAAATATCAACAAAGATCTAGTTGGCCATTTGTAGAATTGACAAAAATAACCTAAATTATCGCTTGCCTAAACTCCTCTTAGTATATTTGAACGAACATCTCACAAATCACAATAAGACAAGAAAATTTACTGTTACGTCAAATCAGTTAGGACTTGGACGGGAGAAAAAGATAAATTAATTCTGTCGTTATTATTGTAAGAGAATCCAATTCATATAAATAACACTAACAAAACCAAAAAAAAAAAAAAAAACCGACAGAAGAAATCAAGAAACCGAAACTTCTGCGAAATTACTTTTAGCATCTCATCTCTTCAACTTCTTTCTCTCCCCTTTGATAATGATAATAATATATAAACAAAATTTAAGAGTTGGAATACGTCGGTCACGGCCCATTCGAAGTTTCCAGGAAACCACCTAATAATCAGATGCTTCCGTACACTCCAAAACGCATCATCTTGAGATGAATCGCAGCCGTTCGTTACTTCAACGCGATGGGTTAAGGAGAAAGCTTTCAGACCACACGATAAGGTTCGAACGTGACAACCACATCGATGCAGATACGCCACCCAACACTTATATATCTCCATCGGACAAATCAATCAAAACAGTTCACAAAAATCACTTCTCTCTATCTCTCTCCTTCCTTCATCATCTTTTTTCCACTAATGGAACCACCAAGCAAGAAATCAATTGTACTTGAAACTAGTAGTAATACGAAGATGGAGACCAAATACGAAGATATGTTGCCGATTATGGCGGAGAAGATGGACGTTGAAGAGTTTGTATCAGAGTTGTGCAAAGGTTTCAGTTTGCTTGCGGATCCAGAGAGAGATCTGATCACAGCTGAGAGCCTAAGGAGAAACTCAGGGATACTTGGGATTCAAGGAATGAGCAAGGAAGATGCGGAAGGAATGGTTAGAGAAGGAGACCTTGATGGAGATGGAGCACTTAACCAAACCGAATTCTGCGTTCTCATGGTTCGGTTAAGCCCCGAGATGATGGAAGATGCAGAAATCTGGCTCGACAAAGCCATCAGCAGCCAACAACTCTGCAATCACAACCACTCTTCTCTGCCTTGATGAACTACCTTTTGCTTGTGTATTCTCTCTCTGTCTTCTAAAACTTATAAATGTTTCTCAATAGAGAAAAATACACCAACCGTATAACTTATGCTCGAGAAATACACAATTCCATGTCTCTTTCAATTTATTTTATGTGAAACAAAATTTATAAAACATAAAAAAAGAAGAAGAAATTTCTGTTATCACATAGATGTAGATACGAGTCTTAAAAAAGGATAATAGAGATTATGAGTCTTTTTAATCAATGTTTGAAAACATACTAGAGCAAAAAAAAAAAAAAAAAAAAAAAAATCTGAACGTTGGACCTATGCCCCCTCTCGCCATGGGTTACAAACGGTAGTGTGGCCATCTGCGCAGAACAACATCTTCAACCTCTTGCTCTTCCATAAGGAGACCGGCTGTTACAAAACAAAAACAAAAAAACAAAAAATCAGATAATTAGTGTTATAAAGAAATTTAGGATATTAATAATGGATAACCCAAGAGAGTAAGAAGCCAAGTGTATGTGTTGTTACCTCCTGTATCTGTCATAGCCTGGGCTTCTAGCTCTGCCATAGTCTGGACTGCGACGCCCATAATCGGGGCTCCTACGCCTTTCATAAGGAGCTGGACCCTTGTACCTGTCATATTCAGGACTACGAGGACGACCATAGTCAGGACTGGGACGCCTCCGGTACACTGGACTAGGAGATCTCCTTCTTGGGCTAGCAGCATATCTGTCTTCTCTTTCATCATCATCCCTCAAAGCATACTCAATAGAAACAACCCGGTCCATTATTTTGCTGCCAAAGACATGTCAGGGCTTATCAGAGTTGGCCAATCACTATCTCTGTTAGATGAAACAAAATTACTAGCTAGAGACGTGTGTGTGTGTTGCTACCTGTTTTGTGTACAGTCAAGGGCCTTGGTTGCATCTTCTTGGGTTGCAAACTGAACAAATGCAAAGTTGCGCCTTATGCGGACATTGAGAACTTTACCATACGGCTCAAAGTGTCTCTCAATATCACGCTCTTTTGTGCGAATAGGGTCAAAGTTGATGACAAAGAGTGTCTTCGTCGGCCTCTGATTCGAGGCTGACCTTCCATCACGAGGCTTCCCACGTTCACCCTGAAAGTCGCAATAAACTTAGTTCTCTCTGCACAATAAAACCCCGAGCATATGAGTCATTAGAAGAACAAGAAAGAGATACCTTGGCCCATTCAACTGATAGCTTGCGTTTCTCGTAGCCAAAAGGGGTATTGTCGATCCCACGGATTGCATCTTCAGCATCACGCTCGTCCTCAAAATACACAAAAGCATAACCTGCACGAACATATAAAAAACAAGATAAGAAAACGCAGGACATAAATTGATAATCTGTTTCGGTCCACAAAACTTGCAATGCAGGAGTTAGTCAGCAAGAAGACACCTTTTCACCTAGAGAAAATGAAAACAAATAAGTATACAACACCTGCATCAATGTGAAGGCTGGTGTACATAAAGATGTAGAGGCGTTCCATGAGGTAGTAGAAAAATAAAGATGTGTAGTAGTAGTAGCCTATCAAAAGGTAGTAAAATCCGATTTTTTTTTTCAATTCTGAATGATTGCTAAGGCCAGCTTCACCATTCTGACAAGTAGGAGTTCAGATATGGAAGCCATGAAGAAGAAACAAGGCAATGGGATGATGGATTCAATTGACTTCCAAAGTTTCTCTAGACTCAGCGAAGATTGTAGGCACAACATGATAAAGGTAGGCATGAAAACGTAGGGAATATATTTGCAGGAAGAAGTTGGCAACTCCTTTGGAGAATGCTCCTGCGACCAAACAAACACTTAAATACAAGAATTCCTCTCTTCAACAAAGTCCCTAATTTAACGCTAAGCGTCCCTTTTGTATTTCCCTCCACACCTAACACTAAACCCATGCTTCAGCAGAAACAGCATTAATACAACTGCAAAAATCATGCTTGAAAGTAGCACAAATTCTCAAAATCCAGAATCCTAAATCGGAGAAATCATCGATTATCCTCTAAACGCAACCATTCAAAGAGTATAATCGCAGAAAAATGTAACACGTTTACCAGACTTCATGTCGACTCGCTCCACTCTCCCGTACTTGCCGAACAATCGTTCAAGATCCGATTGGCGAGTATCATACTCAAAATTCCCGACGAACACCGGCCTCATACTTGCAGAAGAAATCGATTTCCTGACGATGCAACAACAGATGTCGTGAACACCAAACAAAAACGGCAAAATCAGAACGTATATAATCGCCGAGGTATCATATATTTTCGAATTTTCGTCTTCTGCGGAAAAGATTTATATTCACCTTGAAGAGTCTCTGAGGAAGCAAGGAGACAGAAAAACCCTAGATGACGACGCTCGACGAAGAAGACGAGGCTCGGTTTAATAACACAGCTTTATAATGAACCAAAAGCGTGTTATTGACGCTCTCCCCATGACCGTTCGATCTAACTCACCTCTCCCTTTGGCCCCTTCGATCATCAAGAACATATTTGGAATTTCAGTCAACTGTTTAATTGGGCTTTTCTACAACCGGCCCAAAATGTTGTTCTTATAACTATAAGAATCTCAGTTTCTTTTCCAAATGAATGTGGATGGGATTTTCTTTTCTTTTTTGTATTTTTTTTTACCATGTTGGATTTTCTTCTCTTGATAGCTAAACCAAAAAGCATAACAATTTTGTCTTGTAAACTTCTGTACATTAAATGGGCCTTTACGCAATTTACCAAGTTATTCTGGATTCGTTGAAGAGCCATTAGGAGTTTCACACTTGAGTTTTGCTTGTCATGAAAGTTATTAGTTATTTAGTTAGCCCGACTTGAAATCTCTTAATTGAAATTTATATCCACCCATTATAACTGGAAGATCTCAATAATTACTGATCGTTCTCTATACATACCACGATAAAGGAATAAGAAAATGGAGTAATTATCTATATGATCTTCAACATTCGATTGGCCAGGTCAATGTCCATCTTCATGCTGTTTCTATCTTTGTTGGTTGACGTACAACTATTTTTAATTATTAGACTATTTTATAAGTAACATTTTATCTCATAACATCTCCTTCAATCGGTTGACGTAAAACCAAACATCTCTTAAAAAAAAAAGTTATAAGAAGTTTGTAATAACTTTTCATGTTTTATCACAGATTTATATATAATAGGATTTTATAAAATGCAAAATAGATATAGATTTGTGATGCTATACTTTGGATGATATAGGTGTTTCTGATGCCCAATAAGCACAACCTACACATAATACACCATTGTAAAATATATTTTTTTTTCTTAAAGGAAAGAATTATAGTGGCTCAGAGAAAATGATCAATAGATTTGACATTTGAAATTTATGGATATGAAAAGAAAAGCTGAACTGAAGATGCTTAGCACAGAGATACTTTATCAGTATTCGATGTTTTGTTTATGAAGTTTCCCTTTCCATGTGTTTTAATAATCCTTGGATAAAAGCTAGTTGCTCTGAAATAATATCAACCGTTCGTATAAAAAGCATACAAAGCTCGTTACATATAATATACTTAGTCGTCAAATCGAAATAAAGAAAAAGAGAGAGAAGAATTTGGGAATAATTTTGTGTCTCAACAAATTAGTGGAGAAATACTACGTACTCTCCGTAGTGTTAAAGGGCATTCTTTCAATCTTTTCAAAAACCAACCAAAAAGAAGTTGAAAAAAAAAAACAATTGATATTTATGATATAAATTGAAAATTAACTCAATCAAAAAAATGATAATTTGGGTTTCTGCCCATGATCTGATTCCGGTTACCAAAAGAAAAAAAATATGATTGTCCATTCATGTTTTGTTGGTCAAGCAAATTTCAAAAATAGATATGGACTAGAAATATCACATATTAATGCATCGTCTTTCTGCAAGCAAGTAGTTTGAGGTACTGTACTGTAAAGATTTTGTTCTGCCAATTTAGTCGTCTTTCGTGTATGTCACTAGATGCCGATCTAAATTAATATATTAACGGTGAAAAATAATTTATATAGGAAAAGCTTGAAATTGACTCTTAACGATTGATACGAGTCGTAAAATGTGGTTTTTGCAAGCTGGAAATCGTATTGCATGTGGATCTGATACCTTTCTTCTCCATTTACTTGTTCTTTCATGTTTCTCGTGCTTCCTTTTTCTTCAACTCACTTGTATGTGTATATATATAAGTTTTGATAACATATCTGAATCGTTCCATTGTGTTTTGACACGAATAAATATCTTACATTTCAAATTAAAAAAATTGTAATGTCTAATGTTCGTCCATGGTTCCGTCTCTCAAGCATCGCTAGGCCTACATCACAAGGCTCAAGCGACCCACCTCCTCCACCTCAACCCCGACCAACACCTCGCCGTCAGGTCACAGTCCGACCACCGGTAAAACAACCGTCACCTCCACGTCAGCAACAACCTCCTTCGCCTCCACGTCAGCAACAACCTCCTTCCCCTCCACGTCAGCAACAACCTCCTTCCCCTCCACGTCACCAAACACCTCCACCTCCTCAAGAGCGGTCCCCATATCATTCACCGCCAAGCCGCCACATGTCGCCACCGACCCCACCAAAGGCTGCGTCGCCGTCTCCACCACCGCCACAGCCGCCTAGGTCGTCATACATGCCGCCACCATCTCCCAAGGAGGTTCAAGAAGCCTTACCACCTCGAAAACCAACTTCACCACCGAGTCCAGCTCATTCGACTAGGTCAATGAAATCCGAATCATCAGAGAGTCCTCGAAAAGCTGCATCACCGAGAGTACTCTCTCCTTACTCTCTCCCACCTTCTCAGTTACATTCTGAGCGCGAAACCACTCAGAAAATCATTCTCACAGCCGAGAAAACAAGCCAACTCTATGAACCAAATCATCATGAAAATCAAAACTATAACCATAACCATAACCAGAACCAGAACCATAATCATCAAGGCAACAACACCAAGAAGACTCATCATCAGCAGTCGTCATTTTCCGATTCCGAAAACATAATGGGCACACGAGTCATCACCATTGCAGGTGAGAACAAAGGTGCTGTAATGGAGATCCTACGATCACCTTCAAACAACAAAACTGGAGGAACAGGACCACATTCCTCCAGGGTTTTAAACGGCGCCGGAGAGAAAGGACGGCGACTTCAAAGCAGCAGCAGTAGCAGCAGTGACGAAGGAGAAGGAAAGAAGAAAACGACGAAGAACCGTAACAATACTAGCAATAATAGTAATCTCCCGATGAAAGCTTTTATGAACAGTAACGTTCAGATGATAAACAACTCTATTGTTTACAACTCGACGGCGACTCATCACGATCCCGGCGTTCATCTTAAAATCTCCCGGAAACCTGGCTCCGGCAATGGTTTCCACGTCACGGATTACGGTGATAATGGCGGCGGATACACCAACTGAGATATACAAAGCTCTCTCTGATCTTCGACCGGGATGAATCCTCCCGGTTTTTTTAAATTAAAAAAAAAAAAAAAAAAAAAACACTAAGGTTTTGGGGTTTAAACTGCAATAAATTCAATTTGATTAAAATAAACTAAAAAAGAATAAAGGGAAAAAATGAGTGGGGTTAGTGGTTTCTGATTCTTCTTTAAGTTTTTGGAAACCCTCTCACTCATATGGAGGCTTTGATTTCGTTTTTTGAAACGTTTTTTTTTTTTTAACTTGTAACGCTCTTTCGTTTCTCTATGTCTCTCTCTGATGTGATGAATGAGATGTCGATTATTACTTTATTTATCAGATAGGTCCTTAATTACATTGCGATGTGAAGTCCTGCTCCTCCGTATGGCGGATTGCTATCACAGCTAAGATGTAAGATGTCTAATTCCGATTCATATCTACTGTATATGCCTCTATTCATATGTTAAGCCATTCATATGGCATTCACATATCAACACAATGACTTCTGCACAAATGTCTAATGTCTTATTAGTCGTGTGTCTGTTACGGGTCATGACGCAGCTTATGCAGTCATGTATGCAGTCATGATTCATTAAGTCCACATACCCCCTTGGCCCCTTTGTTTACATAAATATCCTGCTAAATATCTGCCCAAATTCATATACAGTACTTTACTACTTTATCTACTCAATAATATTTGTTTCAATAATATCCGGGGAATTTCTGTTTTTTGCTGGCTTTGTGTACCAAAAACGTATACCAACTTTGTACTATTATACAATGGAAAAGTCCAGTGAAAAAAAAGAACTATTACTGAGTAACAAAGAAAAGAAAAAAATGCATTCTTATAACATCTCATCTCAATGTCCTATTGTATGCTTCTACATTGTAAAGTTATCATTAGCTGCTTTCAGAGACAAGAAGTCTAACAAACTGAGGTATAATGAAACAGTCAAAACTCTCTCTATTTCATACTATATCTTAATAAAAGACTATATATTATCTTTAGGAATTTATATAATTTGATAGTTTGAAATTTTGGTTTTATATTTACTCCATTTTAATTTGTAGAATTTTTAATTTTCGACATGATCAAATATATCACTACCTAACAATAACATAATACAGGAATATTTGGTATACTACAATACTTTCGAAAAGTTAAGTAATAGAGCTAAAGTGGCCAAATTATTAGAGAAAAGATTACAAAAGTCTATGAACAAGAAGCAAGTGACAAAGAGGAAGGAGAGCCCCGTCAAGTGTGTGTGGGGTATTGTGTTATCTTTAAAAGCTTTGGGTACTTTCCATGTGCATGCATGGCCTTCCTATTCCATTATGTTTTTTTTGAGGATTTAATAGGTATCCAACGACCTCATGACTACCTAATAATAGTACTGATGATACTATAGCTTCATTATCAAACCATCAAACATCGAAAATTTTGGGAGAAGCTGGCACGGACTATAAAACCGTAAGTTTATTTTAATTGTGTATCAAAATCCATCACAAATGGTAGCGGACTGGCGAAAAAGTTAATAAAGACTAAATGTAACTTGGAATTGTTATCATAATAAGTTTGTCAATAATTTCAAATGGTATAGCAAGTGTTATTTTTGTCAAGAGAAACAACATATTGTTTCCAATTTAGAAAATAACTTTAGTTTACGTTAAACTTTTTGAAATTCGGTGATCATCATTCCTAAATTTAGGCCGCTAATGTTTGAATATATTATTGTTGATCGTGAAGGAACGACCCGCGACATTTATGTTACTGTGACAACAGTAACTGGATTGCTTCGACTAGATTTGGACCTTCTTGTTACGAATCATTGAAGTAAGATATCAGAATTGTGTCGAATTCAAAATTGACTGAAACCAAAGCAGCAAAGCTATCGCTTTTGTACAACGAATTGTTCATTCAGTGTCAAATCAGACGATAAAGCATTGAAAGCAACAGAAGTCTACCAACACGATTACAAGAAATGAACCACGGAAAGGCCAAGGAGGCAAAACTGAAAGACGATTATATTATTGGGTCAAACTTTAGTGTTATATAAGTAATCGGGTCAAAAAGTAATTACTTAATAATTGAGACCAGATAAGCACAACATTTCTGACATGTGGCACCTACTGATTGGCCTTGTCTCCCAAAGGTCAGACCTATCTAACCCACTGTCCGTCTGTTGACACGTGTCAGGAGCTAAAACATCCCCCTTTTGATTTATTTAGTGTCCAATAAATTTCTCATTTCACACTATTCTTTTGCTTCAGACCCTTCACTCTTTCAAGAAGAAATATAAAACCATGACGGTACGTAATATTTTGCAGTTATTCTATGAATATTTTCGCTCTATATTTTTTTTTATCCCCGGAGTTATGTAAAATCTTCTTGTTTTCTGGATTTTTTCCCGAAGATCTTTAACTGGGTGCATAAAAAGCTGCACCACAATGTCATCAAAGGTTAGCTTTTTATTTTGTTTTTTATTAATCAGCATTTTGTTTATTTGTTTATTAGAACTATTGTGTGTTTAATTAAATATTAGTTTCACTTTTCTATTGTATAGTATCATATAAGATCATGTGGTTCTCTGTTTATTATTTAGTTTTTATATGAAACATATGTTACAAAAAGCATAATCTTGTGTCCAAGCTATATTTAGATACTTGTATATTTTTAAATAGACGGTGCGACGAAAAGCGAGAAGAAGAAGAGAAGTGAAGGAATAAGTGAGATAGAGAAGAATACAAAAGCTATATTTGATCAGGTTGGGTTAGTGGATGCTCTTGATAACTGGTTCGATGGAGTTCTCACCATCGGCACATTCGGTTTCGACAATTTGAAGTTTCAAGCAGAAGACGAAAGAGATGATGATGATGATGATGATGACTGTGAAAGTGTGGGTCTCGACTATGTCGTCATCGATGGTAGCATCATCAAGAACGTCAACCAAGAGTCGGATCCTCTTATCTCCAATGAAAATAAGTTTTATGATCATCATGAGGATTTAGGGGTACGTACGTAAATGACAAACATTCTATATTGACAACATCTTTCCTTTCAGATGAATTCACAATTTCAGACACTTTAACGCAGCTGTCAAAAGGTTTTGGCGTTTACATTTGCATTTTGCAACCAACAAAATCTACTTGTTTTATAGATATTTTTGATATATACTAACTCAAATGCAAAAGTCTAGTTAAAACCATATTCTAAAGATCAATTATCCTATCCTCAGTTATACGTACAATTATATGTCCTTATAGATTGATTTACTTGAGATCTATCGTATAATCTATATATATAGGCATTGGAGGCTAATCACTTTGACTCGGTCAAAACCGTTGAAAAGGCGGTGGTCGTGTCCACAGTGGAGTCCGAGATGGCGCCGGAGAAGAAGAGGACAACACTAGCCGAGCTTTTCATGGAGGACCTAGACGAAGTCGATGATATGTGGCATGGCAAGAAGACACCGAAGAACCCTAATCTTGATGTTGATGGTCAGGAAGTTAAATATTATAAACAAAACGGGTGGAAGCTAACTAGTAGGTTCTCGTTTGCTAAGAAGAAGATGGTCACGTCAAAGTCCAAAGATAAAGAAGGTGACTCGCGTCCAATCAAGAAAGTGCATCAGGTGATTAGTTTTATTTTGATTCCATAACATTGATGATAGTATATGAACATGTTACATGTGCGTGAGTGCCTCTATTACTCAAATCATATGAAGTCACATCAAGATCTAGATGATGTTGCATGTCTGTCTGTTTGTTTTTTATTATTTTTTTTTATTATTATTTCGGCGCATGTCTGTTATTGTTAGTATCACTATTGTTGCGCATGCTTATGTATGAGAGTAAATATCTATTGTTGTTGTACATCATTTATATATATTATTGTAGATGATAAAGAGGATGTTAAAGAAGAAGATCCATCCAGATATCGATGCTACTAAGGGTTTTAAAAAGGACGTTCCATACAAGCCAACCCCAAACTGTGAAGCTCTCGATTCACTTTATCTTCTTAACATTCAAGGTTCGTCCTTTTCAAAACTATATATAATTACATAAGTGCTCCATTGAGTTATCATTTTGCTCATCTGCTTTGTTGATCAGATTGCGTGGCCTAAGAACGACGTCGGACAAGAGCTATTATTGGATGTATGCTTTTCATATTATATGCGATTTCAGTTTTTTTTTTTGTTATTTGGGATGTGTTAAGATGTATTGTTTTCTTACTACAAACAATATTTACGGAGTTGTTACTATTTGTTCCTGTTTTATGCATACTTTCATTTTATTATTATGTGATGTCACCTATTTGTTCCCGTTTTATGCATACTTTCAGTTTGTTTTTTTTTTTCTTCATTTTAATAGTTTTTTGAGAAAGACTTCTGTATTAGTTTACATGTCGGAACTTTTCTTTCTAAAAGATGAAAACAACTCACCCAACAAATATATGTATTGGTACGTGAGATTTTTGCGTTATTGGGCCTGATGAGAAAAGTGATTATCCTAGAGGTCGCTGACCGCTTTAAACAAACCAAAAACAAAATTATGCTTGGCTTCCTTTAATTTTATTTATTTAAGAGAAAAAGAAAACGTGAAGAACTTCACCAACCTGAGGTCGCTGACCGCTTTGAGGGGTCTCAGCTACCATTAAATTACAAACATCATATTCTTCACGTTTCGGTATGGTAGGTACCGTCATTTTTTTTTTACTACCTGTAATTTAACGGGACAAGTATAAATTGCTTCGTTCCTCGTCCGTCTTCAAAAGCTGAGAAATCAACTATTAACAATTCCCGAACCAATAAATGTAACAAGACTGTGTAATTGTTGACCGAAAAAGAAACACTTGACTATAATTTTATTAGAATAAAAGAAATAAAAATATTCAAGAGTTTCACCTGGCATCTTACAATATAAACAGAACGCGTGTGGTCTCGAGAAGTTGCGCTCTGTTTTAGATAGGTTCGTAAACGTTGAAACTCTTCCCTTCGCGGTCTTGATTTCTTGTTTTTGTTTCAATCTAATGTATCTGAAATCCAATGAAACTTTCTGTTGCAGGTAAATTTCTCTGCAAGAGCAGTAATCAATGGCGAATCTAATTTCGTTTCATGAAGTGGCTAAACATAAGTGCAAGAACGATTGTTGGATTCTTATCCATGGAAAGGTCTCTCTTTCTTTTTTCTTTCTTTAATTCACATAAACAAAATTAAAAGTGCTCTGTTTTTCCTTTTTTTTTTAGTTTTCTGTTCTGTCACTAAGACCAGTGATTCCACAGGTCTATGACATCAGCACTTTCATGGACGAACATCCGGGCGGTGACAATGTTCTCCTCGCCGTCACCGGTAAGTACAATTACAAGTTGGTTTACTCCGGTTTGATGTTTTTTCCCCCGTTCTATCGATTTAGGCTTAATCCTCCGGTTTGTAATTTATGTGAATTTATGAAAATAAAAAGGCAAGGACGCGTCGATTGATTTCGACGATGTGAATCATAGCAATGAAGCGAAGGAGACAATGAAGAAATATTGTATCGGTGACGTTGACCAGTCAACGGTTCCGGTGACGGCGAAGTATATTCCGCCGTGGGAGAAGGAATCTACGGCGGAAACCACAAAGCAGGAATCCGCAAATAAGATGCTCGTTTACTTGGTTCCTCTCTTGATTCTTGGCGTTGCTTTCGTTCTCAGATTCTACAACAACAACAACAAGCAGACAAATTAATTATAAAAAAAAAAATTTATGATGAAAGATCCATCAATCAATTAAGTTCATAACAGTTTCATAATGTTGTTGTAATATAATCTGGGTTTTGTGTGTTCGTAATAATGGGCTTCTCATGCGAAGATTTGACCCATGAATGGGAGTTCAAACTATTGATTTATTATCTTTGTGTTACTGACTCGTAGCAACATGCCCGTTATGATATATGCCGCCACTAGCATTGCCATGGGTTTTTATGTTGATATCTGCCATTAATTAATACAATCAAGTAATACAAATTTAATTAATTTGGTTATTTTTTGGTCGAATATAATTTCTTATTTAACCAGTAATGAATGGGTTTTCTTATTTAAAACAAAGAATGAGATAGCACGAATACATACTATCTAACTTTCCAAAGGAAGAAGGAATGTGTATAATATATACGAAAATGAACTTCTTCTGAGTTCTCCATATAGTACAATATATTTGTTTATCGAAGATGTGAAAATTACGCCTTCTGTATTTCTATCCAAAACAATAATTTTAACGCCTTCTACATTTCTAGCCAAAACTACTTCTATTATATTGTCGTCGGATGAATTTTTTTGGGCACTTTAGGATACAAAGATATGAAGAATGTTGGTTTAAATTTATCAATTTGATACTTATTCGAATATCAGAATGTACTTTGTATTTATAGTTACTTTGAAATGCTGGTTTACCGTACCGTGCATGAAAACAACAGCACTTTAAGAAAATTCGTTTTCTTTGATTCTGAATTATTGTCATCTAATATGATATGATAAATATGGGCATATTTATAATTTTTATAGTTAACTCTAAAAAATGTGAAACATGTTCAAATGACATTAAAACATAGGAAATAAGATAATAACCGAAGTAAACTACCGTTTAAACATAAAAATTTAAAACACTAGAATATAAATTAATTTTCACTGTATTTACAAGAGTAGAAACAACACACACCTTTCAAGACACACAAACCACAACACAAAAAAAAAAACACCTCACGTATCAGAATGTTAGTTCTAATAAAACAAAAAGCTGGCTTAATACATTGTCACCGTTAATTAAAATCCTTAATTTTCTTATACGCTTTTTAATTACGCCTGCGGCGCACTTTAGCAGAAAGAGGATTGGCCATCTCACAGGAAAGCCTTAGTTTCTCAGATAAGTCGACGCCGTTTCCATCCGACGGTCCCCATTCAAACTCGTGTAACAGCGTCGCGGTCCAGTACGTAACGGTTATCAAACCCAGATTCTTCCCGGGGCAGATTCGACGACCCGACCCGAAAGGCGCCAGCCTCAAGTCCGACCCGAGAACCGAAAACTCCATCTCACCTTCTTTCGCCACGAATCTCTCGGGTTTAAACTCCAAAGGATCAGCCCACACGTGTGGATCATGCGCTATGGCCCACATGTTCACCATTGCTGTGGTCCCCGCGGGAACGAGACGACCATCAACGATCGTGTCCGTTATGGCCAAACGGGCCCATGACAGAAGCGGGCCTGGAGGGTGAAGCCTCAAGACTTCTTTAATCATAGCCGTCAGATAATGAAGTGAAGCCAAATCAGACTCATCAACGGCTCTTGATTTTCCGACTACCAAATCAAGCTCGTTCTGTACCATTGATTGGATATCTGGATGGAGGACCATCCTCGCGAGGATCCATTCGATTAAAACCGCCACTGTGTCTGTTCCTCTGAATATCATCTCCTGTAAAAGAAATAAACCGAATATGCGATATTTTTTAAGTACTTATTTCTTTATATGGAATCTGTTCATAATAGTTTATTTATCCCACCACACGTCACATTTCGTCTGAAGATGTATCATGTTTTATATCAGTATTTCTAAGCATTTTGAGGCTTAAATCATATTTAAGAAGATTAAAATTACCCAGAGAACGGCGATGATGTCCGGGTCGGATAAATTATCCGAACCATGGAGGGAGAGCAAAACGTCGACGAAATCTCTAGGCGAATCACTGGTTTGATTACGATGCTCGGATATAACCCGGGATACAAACCGGTTTACTTTCGGTACGAGTGTCGAACATCTAGACCGGATTCTCTGAGGATCAAATTCCGATAACCAAGGAAGGTGATCGGTCCAATTCAACGTTCCGAGCAAATCATACCCTTCTTCGACCAATTCACGTAGCTCACCATGGTCTTTATCAAGCTCGCACTCTTCTCCAAAAACAGAGCTCATCATGTTGTTAAGCGACGCCGTTTTAAGCAGTTCGCGAACAAAACAGAGTCCGTTGGTACTCTGTTTTTCGAGAAATCGAACCATCTGGCTCGCGATCACTCGCCTCTGCGTCTCGGCTCGTCTGATTTGTTTCGGGCTGAAGAGATGGTTCGAAGCGATCCGGCGAAGAGTTCGCCAGTAAACACCGTGTGGTGCGAAACCAATCGCCCGGTTAAACATCAGAGAGTAAGCTGATTCTTTAACCGGCCGGTCAGCGAAAACCGGGCTATTGAGGATCTCTTTAGCGACTTCGGGGTTGCACGTGACGATCACGCGTGTCTCGCCTAAGCTGAAAGCCATAAGCCGCTTGGCTCCGAGTTTCTCTGCTACATGTGCGATTCGGTGGTGAGCTAGAGTGCTGGACATGAGAGACATGCTTCCCACGAAAGGGAAGCCTCTTGGACCGGGAATAACCGTTCCGGTTTTGTTTGTTAACCGACGGAAGAAAAATTTGCCCCATGCAGGTCCACCGGGATAGGACCAGAAGAAGAGGGAGATAGCGAGCCAGACGCTTGCAACGGCGATGAGTGAGAAAACGAGATTAGTTTGGCTTAGAACGCTGCATTTGGACAAAAGGGCAAAGATTAAGGAGCTTTCGAGTTCCGTAGCCATGGCGGATCAAAGGAAAGTAAGTGAAGAGAGAGAGAGATAGGGAGAGATAAACAAAAGGAGAGTGTCTTTTGGTCTGTGGGGCTTAAAGATCAACAGATGGCTTTGGTATTTATATAGATGATCAGACCCCTTTTTTCTTCTTCATTTTCAATATAATGGATACGTTTATTATTTATTTGTTATTATGATCTATGTCAAATAGGATTTTTGCCTTTTTTTATTAATTATATTATATTCTGTGTAGTTGTGTTTCTTTATTGTCGCTCTCTGTGTTAAGAATGTGTTCATTGTTCGACATTTATAATTTAAATTTCTTAAGCAAAATAGACTGTTCTCACTCAAGCCAATATGTGGCTAAATTTTCGATTGAGTACAAGTTTATTTTAAATCCGATGCTTCACTTATACACGGTCGAAAACTATATACTTTTAATTTTCCTTGTTTACTGAAAATGCCTACCCATAAGCAAAGTTAGATAGAATACTTTACTAAAGTAAAATTTTGAATACTAATAAAAAAAGATCTAGAAATGCAATATATTTGTAAGAGGGTACGTGGAATACGTCTATGGAACAAAATATATGTAATTTTCCGTTAGTTAGCTAGATAATTAGAGTTGCCGACCCTGATTCCACGAGAATCGATCGACGTTGATGGTGAATCTCTTTTGGATGAATATCTTATAATTGAAAATTTGAAAGTGCTTGTAGGATTTTATTCCATTTTTTAAAAAAAAAAAAAAAAAAAAAGCAAGACCGTTCAGCCACAAGATAAAGATGATTGCAGTGTCTTGTTCACCGATCTATTTGATAAACAAACATCAAACTAAAGGTGTTTAAAACAAAAAAGCAAGACCACTTTGAATGTAATCGTTTAGTTGATTTTACATGGATTCCAAAATGTGACGAATATTTGTAATTTTGATAGTGCAGATATAGCCATTAGTAAAATAAGTTTTTTTAAGAAAACAATAACAAATGAATTGGCAACAGGTGGCATTAATCGCAAATAAAAGAAAATATGAATTATCTTAATTAGTAGAATAAAGTAAAAAATGTAATAAATAGGTGTAATGTGATGGTTACCATCAATTAACTTATTACAAACGCTAACTTAATTATCATCGTGACCGTTAAATCAAACGTAAATCATGGAGTCTGCTCGTAATCCAGTTGACTTGACTTATCGATCACTTATCTTTCTGTTCATTTTTATATCAGTTATACAATTTTTGTTCTGTTTCATATGAATTATTTATTTCACCATTTAACTTATATAGTTATATTCGTTTATAGTATATATATATATAATTGTCAAAAGGTTAAGAACAACTAAAATATTGATTACAGAGTTCATAACGGTACCGTTACTAGTAAGAAAATGAGATTTAACGGCTCAGCGCCGTCATACGTTCGCGCGTGAGTTTTACTTCTCCAATCCCTTGGGATCTTATATATACTCCTTAGCGTGACGTCATATTTTGTGGAGCCAGTCTTAATTACCTGTCAGTAAAAATCTAAAAGTAAAGTCAACTACTGAACTAGAACAACTGAAAGCTGACGACAAAAAAAAAAAAGAACAACTGAAAGCTATAAATAATTACTTTGTCCGAATAGTAGAAAAATGCATCTACTGTCTAGGTTTTTGTTAAAAACTTACGTTTTATCATCTCAAACTATATTAAAATATACAACTCGATTTAATTGTAACAATACAAAAAAGTGACTGTGTGTGGATTTTTTTTTTGTGATGTCTAGAACGGTTGGATTATCCAAACTGAATGTATCGAATTTATATAAATAACATTTTGTGGGTGGGCTCGAACACTCTTTGCTAGAATATCCGTTTTCAAATTCTTGGCACGTTGAATTTACATAAAAAAGTGACTGTGTGTGGGTTTCATTATTTTAATATTTGACGAATTCTTGATTAATCAGTCGTGATGCAGGAGTTACACAACGTATAACGGCTTGACACTTTCTAACTCCGAATTCGTTTATTAATCACAAACGTGGGAGCGATTAAGAAGTTCTCCATTAGGGGTCGTCCACATGTGCATTTCGTTATTTTTCTCTAATAAATTAAGATAAACTTGTCACTCTTTAACCAAATAAGAACTAAAATCAAGTCGTTATAATTAACCGTGGTTTGAAAATGTTAAAAGAGTTGATAATCAATTGTAAACAAAAAATAGCTGTCCTTGTGTACTTAGTACTACTTATCCAGGAGACAAATTTAATTGATACATTAGTTTACTAACCTCCCTTTATGTGCTAGATGACGCTTTGACAGCTATACGATTTAGTCGCTAAGAGTAGTTACTATTTCATATTATATTTTTTATATAAATATTTACCACCATACATTTGAAAATTTTATTACAAAATTTAGTCCGTGATGTCATATATATAAATTACTAACCATTATTGATTAAAGGTCGTCACATCACAACATACATCTCATTACTTTAAGAGATCCAGTTATATATATATATATATAATATTATTATTATGGGATATATTGTAAATAAAGCTCAAATATTAGTTGAACTTTCAAAAATAGTCCTGCCTTTTTTTTTTTGATTTTCAACGACTAATCCTGTCTTAGCCACATGACTAGGATATTCTTATATCTATATAAAGATTCCACACGAAATATTTCCGTGATAAAAGATTCGTGGTATTTCTATCGTATATACACAACATATACTTGTAAACAAATAACCTCATGGAACTGAACATAAACATGTTCGTAACAACAGCTGTCTTTAATAATTCTAAAAGAGTATATGAAGTTTGAATATTTGACCTATTCAGGTGAGGACCTGAGCTAGAGATTGACCGTTCACGCCATGAAAACATATATTCTCATCATCAGACACCAATCTATTTGCGTGGATCTTTGTCGTTGGCTATGGTGCGGTCTTGTGTACCCAAGTGACGGCATCTTCTGTTCACAGCCGTTGATTTTATTTCCAGATTCGACCGATCGCGTTTCCGTTATGTCACGTGTAAGGTTCAAGCGACAAAAGCGCTTGATCGTGCTAAGTTTCTGAGTGTAGTATAATTGACAATATGCACACTTGGTGTGAGTGGAATACTAATTTACAAAATGACCATAATACCCATCTCCTAAACATAGACAAACACAAAGGCAAAGGCTCAATAGTCATTTAAGGCTAATCAGACAACCCACATGATTCGATTAAACACAAACTATATGGTCCCAAATATCGGTTGCTAAGTGCTTGTCAATGGCTTATATCAACGGTTAGATCATCGCTCATGTCTCAAATGAGAAGTGCCTGGCCGTTGATCTATCATCAACTTATTAGCAAATAGCAATATACAGCTTTATCTTTTATTTTTAGAGAACCAACAAAAAACTTCACAAAACTATGTATGTTTGTATATAAGTGTGTGCATGCGTCTTGTTTTGTCATGCTTATTTATGTTAATGTTTTGTTTTGTTACGGTTTTGGTCAGTGAAGATCAGTCCAAATACGAGTCTTGGGTCAATAAATAGTTCGATAAGGATTGCAACTTCCTCCAGCTAAGAGCTATTTATTCACAATTTGGTAACCATGATAAATTTTAGATGATGCATATAATTGAAGAAAGTATTCACTAGCCAAATATTATATGAAACGAGACTGACTGAATTTTACGCGTTCTCATTTACAAACGAACTACTCAGAATTTACACACTTATTTATTTTCTTACAACAGTTTTTGATATTTAAGTATATACTTAACTTTTATGGATTTGTTATCGGCTCAGTTCTATCTAGATAAAAACTGTAATATCATATATGTTATATAATTTGTTTGTCGTTTTAAAGGAAAACTGAACTATCCAATTTTTTTTTTTTATAAAAAAATTCAATTGTATATATGTCTAAATTCAATTGTAACAGTTTAAAACTGTTACTTTTGATTTTGTTTTTGGTATGAACTAAAAATGCAATGAACAAAAGAAATTAAACTACACCATCTAAAGTCTATATGATTGAGTCTTTAGAGAAAAATACTAGTGAAAAAAGTTGTGAGGGATGGGGACATTAATTACGTTAGCTTATTCACATCTATTAAGCCTTGACTACAATTATATTGTAAAGACTTTAGAAACTCTCAATAATTTTTTTTTCTCAGATCACATTTAACCTTTCAGACAATAGTAGAAACATGCGAATGCCAATTCTAGCGATTCCAAATAATGAGTTACAGTACAACGCTAGTTTACGTATCATAGATTTAATATCGAAACTAAAAAGTTTACATATGAACAAATGATCCGGAGTCCTGGAGATAATAGAAGACTTACAAATAAAATAAGAAAGCAAGTTACGTTAAATTGAGGAAAAGTATTAAAATGTGGAGTTATTTAATATATATACAAAATGAAGAAGACAAATAAACAATTAGGGTCATTCATCAATCGTTTTGTTGGGTATTGATACGTCAATTTCTTGGAGGGGGCTGTCTCTATATACAGGTATAGCCTTGCAGCTTAATGTGTGATCGTTTCCCTTTGCGATAGGGCAAACTATTATGTCGTTAATGTGTTTAATTTCAAAATTGACCACAAGACAATAATTTATCTCGAATTTATTAGTACCATACACATATTCTATAGCCAAAAGTAATTATAGGCGGTAGTACTTTATATGACCAATAGTACCAACTATAGTTAAGCATTGATGGAAAATTTTACGTGGCCGATATTTCAAAAGTCAACCTTATTTGACATAATTATTAATCTAGCAATTGATGTTCCAAACTGTTATCAGTCGAATTGGATTGGCATAACATGAGAAACTGATCAAATGTTATGTCTAAAGCAAATTTGGATGTATTCCTTAGTCTTTTGGTCATCAATAGATAGTTATAAATCTCTGTTTATGCAATTATGCATGATAGGCTGGTTAATAAATATGATATCGTACCCTAGTTGACCGTCGTAGCTAGGTACACACAGAATCCTTGTACCTTTATACAGAT